GCCTAGAGGCAAGCCGACGCCGGCCAGAGCGGAGGTGAGCCCAGCCAGGCCGGGCCAGGAGGACTGGGAGAGCGGGACGCCCGAGGACGCCGGACTAAACCAGTGTTGTGTTGCACAGCCCACGTCGGTGCGCCTAAGGGGTCCACCGACGACATCCACGAGCCGACGTCACCCGAGGAGGCGGCGCGGAGCGTATCGCCGCCGTCAAGGACGACGCCGGCGGAGAGAACGCCATCCCCGACCTCAGCTGGGGACGCCGACGACGCCCCAGACGAGGCATCCCCGGTCCGTGGGGACCTCCACGTCGGGCGGCGGGGCCAGCGGGGCCGAAGGCGATCCGGAGGGCGTTCTGCGGACGCTCCCCCTTCTCCAAAGACGCGGAAACGAAAATCGTCCACCATTCCAGACGGGGAGTGGCTGCCGGGCACGTGGCCCGCGGGGCACGGCGGTGGCGCCGTCACGAGCGGCGTCGGCGTCGGTGTCGGCGTCATGGAGACGGAGCAGCTCATCGCCGAGATAGAGAGGCGGCCGGGCATCTACGACTCGGGATGCCCGCAGTACCAGGATCGGGTCGCCAAGTGGACGCTGTGGTGCGAGGTCTGCGAGATCATGACCCCGCGCTGGCACCAGCTCGACGAGGACCGGAAGGCCGCTAGAGGTGAGTAAACAAATCGTCGAAGTACGGCGGCGTTGATTCCCCGTCGAATCGACGTGAATTCGATACTGACATCGGATACATGTCAACTCGATGTCGGAACGACGTTTCGCTCGTCCAGAGCCGATCCACCTGCTCGAACCAGTTCATGATGGCCCTTGTTGTCCTCTTGCAGTGAAAGAACTACAAAAGAGGTGGAAGTCCCTACGCGACTCCTTCATGAAGGAGCTCAAACTACAGCGTGAGATGCAGCGCACCGGCCAGACCGCCAACCGCAAGAAGTACGTCTTTTTCGACCAGATGACGTTCCTCATGCCGTGCTTGGAGGCGCGTGGGTAAGTAAACTGCGACGCATCTAAAAGTCTTTTTGGTTCTCCCGCACCCTCCTCGCCCTCTAACACACTGCCTTTCTCCCTGTGCAGAGTGTCGCGCTCGGCCGGCGGCTTCGTTCTGCGCGAGGTCGACCCCTACGAGTCGGAGACGGACAGCTCCAAGGCGGACAGGGACGGCGGCGACTGCGGCGACCAGGGTGGCGACCAGTCCGCGGACGCGACCGACTGCCAGTCGGACGACGCGCCGGTCAACCTCAGCACGGCCAACGGCGGCGGCTGCAGCGCTCTCAGCCTTGGCCTCGGCCTCGGCAGCGGCATCACCATCGGGCTGAGCGGCATCGGCGGCGTCGGCGGCCTCAGCAGCCTCGCGGGCCACAGCGTGCTCGGCAGCGCCACCGCCGTCACGGGCGTATCCACGGCGTCGCAGGCCGACGACGACCGCGTGCCGCTCATGCTCACCACCTCCTCGACGACGACCATCAGCTCGAGCAGCGCCGCCACCGGCAACAGCTACTCTACACCGGGCAGCACGACGGGGAAGTACCGGAGCGTGGCGGCGACCGGGAGCGCGACCACGGCCGGGGCCGCGGCGGGGGCGGCGCAGACGGGCGACTGGAAGCGCAGGCGTTCGGGGACGCCGATCAACCCGTACGATGACGACGAGGACGACCCGGATGGCGACCGCCTCTTCCTGCTCTCCTTGGCGCCGTCGCTGCGGACGCTCCGCGGCGCGGCCAAGTCGGCGCTCAAGATCGAGCTGGCCCAGCTGGTGCACAAGACCCTTTACGAGCCGGACGACGCGCTGGCCGACTCCATGACCGAGTCCCTGGCGCCCGTCGTGAGCCTGGCCGAGGGCCTGGCCGAGGGCAGCCCGGCCTCCTCCACGCAGTCCGAGTGCGGCTCGTGCGGCAGCGCCAAGTGCACGTGCCGCAACTCGAGGCCGGCGCACGGCCACGGCCACGGCCACTCCACCAACAACCTGCCCACCAGCGTGCCCATCACCCTTCCGCTGCCGCTGCCCTTGCCGCTGCCCCTTACGCTGCCGCTGTCGCTGCCGCGAGGACTCCGCAGCCCGAAGCGCGCCCGCCACATCGGCCTGGACTTCAGCAACTTCAACGGCCACACCGCCAGCAAGCTGCACGGCGTGTGAGCGAACGGCGAGGGTGAAATTGTAATTTACGGCGGCGGCGATTTCGTTGATCTCAGGAGAGGGTTGGTGTGAAAGGGACGGGCCGCGCTGTGTCTGGGTCGCCGAGGTCGCGGTGGTGGTCGCTCGGCCGCCTTACGGGGTCCTTCTTCAAGACTCTTTGGGCTGTACCTGTGTGATATGTGCTGTTTGCACTGGACTATCGGTTTCTTAGAGAATGTAGGATACTTAGGACTTTTTTTTCGGATGCATAATCTTGTCTAGGCCTTCCCACCGCAGATTTAATTGACAGAAAACGTTGGAAAAAAAATAACATGCATTATTATTTTGGAGGAAATGTTGATAGCAGATTTTTTTTTATGAGATTCTCCTTAAAAATATCATAGTTACCAAAAACATTATTGTTATTTTTGTAATAAAAAATGACAAGCTAGTGTAGATAAAGATTGTTTTAATAATATTGGAGCAGTTACATAAAAACGCGTCATGCTTCAGCTTCTATGACTGTATAAACTTAATTAGGAAACTTATGTATAAATATATGTTCCACCTAAGCATAGATGATACTTTAGGTGGTCTCAATATACCTGATTGTACAAAAATTATGTATGACAAAGATTAGATGTATAGCTATTAAAGTTGACATTTTCCCATAAACGCTAATCGAAAATATTTTCCCAATTCCGCACGCCTTCCCTGCTAAGCCATTCAATTATTACACTGTTCTCCAGGGTGACAGCTTGGACCGCACAGGACGTCCGCCTTGCGGCATGAGCACCTCGCAGCCAAGCAGCCCGTCTTGCAGGAGCACTTCACTTTTTTGTCAGCCCCGCTCGGTTTGAACCGATTCGCGCAGTTGGGGCCTACCCCTCTGTGGCACTGCGGACCGCACAGACTGCCTGCTTTGCGGCAGCCACAACGAGAGTTCTCGCACCCGGTCTGGCACTGACACGCAGTCTGCACAAAGTTGACATTCCCTCCAATCGCCGGCTTCGACTTCTGCTTCGGCGGACCCTTGGCTGCAGGTATGCCCTTCTTCGGTAAATTTTCGCAGGGGGTCCCGCCGTGACACCGAGGACCGCAGTCGAAGTCTACTTTCTGACAGCCGCACCGTTTGGTCCCACATCCAGTTTTGCACCCGCACACTACACTGTCTTCGTCATCCGTCTCCTCTCCAGATTTTGAATAATTTTGGCAGGGCGACCCGCCGTGACACCGAGGACTGCAGTCGAGGTCTGCTTTTTGGCAGCCGCATCGTGTTGTCCCACATCCAGTTTTGCACCCGCACACTATATTGTCTTCGTCATCCGTCTCCTCGTCGCTCGTCCCACTGTCTCCAGATGCTGGTGGGGGTAATTTCTCTTTTCCATGTTTCCCTGACGATTTTGAATAATTTTGGCAGGGCGACCCGCCGTGACAGCGAGGACCGCAGTCGAGGTTTGCCTTCTGACAGGAGCATCGTTTGGTACCGCATCCACTTTTGCACCCGCACACCACACTCTCTTCGTCATCCGTCTCCTCGTCGCTCGACCCGC